TGTGCTTGAACCACCCCGAACTTATGTGAAAAAACTCTACGCACCTCACTCTCCCTAATATTATTCATTTTGAGGAGGTTCGATGAAGTTCGATGTGCTTGAACCACTGTGATAAAACTGTACACACCTCGCTCTCTCTAATATCATTCATTCTGAGGAGGTTCGATGAGGTTCGATGTGCTTGAACACACCCCGAACTTATGTGAAAAAACTCTACACACCTCGCTCTCTCTAATATCATTCATTTTGAGGAGGTTCGATGAGGTTCGATGTGCTTGAACCACCCCGAACTTATGTGAAAAAACTCTACACACCTCGCTCTCTCTAATATCATTCATTTTGAGGAGGTTCGATGAGGTTCGATGTGCTTGAACCACCCCGAACTTATGTGAAAAAACTCTACGCACCTCACTCTCCCTAATATTATTCATTTTGAGGAGGTTCGATGAAGTTCGATGTGCTTGAACCACTGTGATAAAACTGTACACACCTCGCTCTCTCTAATATCATTCATTTTGAGGCGGTTCGATGAGGTGCGATGTGCTTGAACCACCCCGAACTTATGTGACAAAACTCTACACACCTCGCTCTCTCTAATAGCATGCTTTTTGAGGAGGTTCGATGAGGTTCGATGTGCTTGAACCACCCCAGAACTTATGTGACAAAAACTCTACACACCCTCGCTCTCTCTAATATCATTCATTTGAGGAGGTTCGATGAAGTTCGATGTGCTTGAACCACCCGAACTTCTGTGAAAAAACTCTAACCACCTCGCTCTCTCTAATATCATTCATTTTGAGGAGGTTCGATGAAGTTCGATGTGCTTGAACCACTGTGATAAAACTGTATACACCTCGCTCTCTCTAATATCATTCATTCTGAGGAGGTTCGATGAGGTTCGATGTGCTTGAACCACTGTGATAAAACTGTATACACCTCGCTCTCTCTAATATCATTCATTCTGAGGAGGTTCGATGAGGTTCGCTGTGCTTGAACCACCCCGAACTTATGTGACAAAACTCTACACACCTCGCTCTCTCTAGTATCATTCATTTTGAGGAGGTTCGATGAGGTTCGATGTGCTTGAAACACCCCGAACTTATGTGAAAAAACTGTACACACCTCGCTCTCTCTAATATCATTCATTCTGAGGCGGTTCGATGAGGTGCGCTGTGCTTGAACCACCCCGAACTTATGTGACAAAACTCTACACACCTCGCTCTCTCTAGTATCATTCATTTTGAGGAGGTTCGATGAGGTTCGATGTGCTTGAACCACCCCGAACTTATGTGAAAAAACTCTACGCACCTCACTCTCCCTAATATTATTCATTTGAGGAGTTCGATGAAGTTCGATGTGCTTGAACCACTGTGATAAAACTGTACACACCTCGCTCTCTCTAATATCATTCATTCTGAGGAGGTTCGATGAGGTTCGAAGTGCTTGAAACACCCCGAACTTATGTGAAAAAACTCTACACACCTCGCTCTCTCTAATATCATTCATTTTGAGGAGGTTCGATGAGGTTCGATGTGCTTGAACCACCCCGAACTTATGTGAAAAAACCTACCACCTCGCTCTCCTAATATTATTCATTTGAGGAGTTCGATGAGGTTCGATGTGCTTGAACAACCCCGAACTTATGTGAAAAAACTGTACAGCACCTGCTCTCCCTAATATTATTCATTTTGAGGAGGTTCGATGAGTTCGAGATGTGCTTTGAACCACTGTGATAAAACTGTACACACCTCGCCTCTCTCTAATATCATTCATTTGAGGAGTTCGATGAGGTTCGATGTGCTTGAAACACCCGAACTTATGTGAAAAAACTCTACACACCTCGCTCTCTCTAGTATCATTCATTTTGAGGCGGTTCGATGAGGTGCGCTGTGCTTGAACCATCCCGAACTTATGTGACAAAAACTCTACACACCTCGCTCTCTCTAGTATCATTCATTTGAGGAGGTTCGATGAGGTTCGATGTGCTTGAACCACCCCGAACTTATGTGAAAAAACTCTACGCACCTCACTCTCCCTAATATTATTCATTTTGAGGAAGTTCGATGAAGTTCGATGTGCTTGAACCACCCCGAACTTATGTGAAAAAACTCTACGCACCTCGCTCTCTCTAATATCATTCATTTTGAGGAGGTTCGATGAAGTTCGATGTGCTTGAAACCCACTGTGATAAAACTGTACACACCTCGCTCTCTCTAATATCATTCATTTTGAGGAGGTTCGATGAGGTTCGATGTGCTTGAACCACCCCGAACTTATGTGAAAAAACTCTACGCACCTCACTCTCCCTAATATTATTCATTTTGAGGAGGTTCGATGAAGTTCGATGTGCTTGAACCACTGTGATAAAACTGTACACACCTCGCTCTCTCTAATATCATTCATTCTGAGGAAGTTCGATGAGGTGCGCTGTGCTTGAACCACCCCGAACTTATGTGACAAAACTCTACACACCTCGCTCTCTCTAGTATCATTCATTTTGAGGAGGTTCGATGAGGTTCGATGTGCTTGAAACCACCCCGAACTTATGTGAAAAAACTCTACGCACCTCGCTCTCCCTAATATCATTCATTTTGAGGCAGTTCGATGAGGTGCGCTGTGCTTGAACCACCCCGAACTTATGTGACAAAACTCTACACACCTCGCTCTCTCTAGTATCATTCATTTTGAGGAGGTTCGATGAGGTTCGATGTGCTTGAACCACCCCGAACTTATTGAAAAAACTCTACGCACCTCACTCTCCTAAATATTCATTTTGAGGGGTTCGATGAAGTCGATGTGCTTGAACCCTGATAAAACTGTACACACCTCGCTCTCTCTAATATCATTCATTTTGAGGAGGTTCGATGAGGTTCGATGTGCTTGAACCACCCCGAACTTATGTGAAAAAACTCTACGCACCTCACTCTCCCTAATATTATTCATTTTGAGGAGGTTCGATGAAGTTCGATGTGCTTGAACCACTGTGATAAAACTGTACACACCTCGCTCTCTCTAATATCATTCATTCTGAGGAGGTTCGAAGAGGTTCGAAGTGCTTGAAACACCCCGAACTTATGTGAAAAAACTCTACACACCTCGCTCTTTCTAATATCATTCATTTTGATACCAATGATGGGTTGCATGTGTGTAAAAAAGTTTTATCATGCTGGGTATATATTTGCTCTACCTAGTTAGCACACTTTATTCATAATGTTGGCTTTTGCCTATTTTTGTTGTTTACATGTAAAAAACATTGTTGACAAACAAATAAAAATTCTCTTGCACGCCGGGTCACGGATTCCAATCTTTGTGCAAAGTTTCATCTTCATATCTTTAAGTAGTTTTTGAGATATATACTCAAACTGAACAACAACAACAACGAGAAGAAAATTGAATAAATCAAGTACCGATTATGCGATTTAAGCCATTTCTTGGATACATGTTTTTTGATGATACAGATCAGTCTGATTGAAAAACTGAAAGTGAAACTTGAAAATCTCAACAAATGTATGGGCATAATGCAAGGCCATCCCTACTATCGTACTTAGTGATTATGTACCAACTGCCCCCTAAAATCCAAGTCCTTGTATTCTTCTTCTCTTGACGACAAAGTTTGACTTTTTGTGTTGTTCTTTTGTTAGTGCCTTGTCTAAAATCTAACTGAAGCGAAATTCGCCGCTCTTGAGCTTGTTAAGGACTGTGTGATATTTGTCCCGGAACGGACCTTTTGTCAGCTAGAAGCCATAATTATGAGGCCAGGCTGACAGCAGTAGGTACATAGAGAGAGGCCTTCTAAACGTCAAGTGATGGTTGACCAAGACATGGTGGATGACCGTGAGTCAGTTAGTTGTCTTTGGGCTTGGAAGGAAGTTGCGCAGTGTGACTGGTAACAGATTGTATGGCATTGTGGCTAGCGAAATGGTTCAAACAACAAGTTACCCAGAGTGTCAGTATTACTGATGGTAATTCGGACAACTAGACCTGAGTGGTACCTGGTAAGTTTGAGGATTCTTTTCCAATGTCTGCCTGGAAACTTGCAGCCTTCATCCAGTGTCCAGTTCTCACAAGTTTCTACCACCTCCCGGGCCGATAGAGGCTTTGGGTGCCCAAGGAAACCTGAATTCTAACCGATGTCTGGTGTTTGATTCCACACCCATGCAGGTAGCTGAGGCACACAGTTTGAGGTACGGTTTTGATAGTTGACTTTTGGAAATACCCTCAGTTCCATGGTGATGTGCATTTAGATGGAGAAATTAATGGAGAAACTGGTGGTGACAAAAGAGGAATGAGTTTTTGCCTTGGAGTTCTCGGGGTATAGTGAATCTTAAAATCTCAGTTCTCTTGCAGTTCACCTTCAGACCATTTTCTGCCGAAATAATCCGACCCCGCCCTTTGGCCATAGGATATATCATAACATGTACATCATTTGCCTCACCAAGGTATATAGAGGCCACAACTGGATACCCCTGCAGATGTCTCCTTTAGCTAGTTTGTCCTTCACAATGAGAAAGGGGGAAGTACAGATGCCCGGATATATAATATCTGGGAAAGGACCTGAGAGAGTGCTCTGATGATCATGAGTTTCCATTCTTTGCTGTTGATGCCAGCGTTGAAAATAGAATGCTGTTTCGGCAATGCAGTGTGGGCATGAGAGACATTTTTGAAGCACAGGCAGTATTCTGGTGAGTATGGTGTTCATGAAAAATGTAGGAGAGGGCCACCATATATACTTGCAGTTTTTGAGGCACTGCCTGCTTTATCTGTTTTTGACTTCCCTGGCTCACCTATCAATGTGAATTTGTCCTCAATGACTTCATGTTATAAAAAGGTGGGGCAAAACCTTTTGGGAGTCAACTAAGCTTTAGGTGGACCCATGCAGTTGAGATTGATAAAACTAGTGGTATCATGTACTGTACCTGCCTCTCCCAGAGAGGGCTATTACAAGTTTCTATGCTGGATGATCGATGGTGGCTATTTCTGTGCATCATTGCATCCATCCTCATCCTCTCTCAGTCAGCACAGCATACTGCCCTTTACCAATTAATTTAAGATCAAAAATCAGTAACTTTGCTAGGTTTTACTCAGAAAAATGGTATAAAAAGTGATTGCTGGACTAAGTTTTGTTATTGGTTGTCTAAAGTGTTATCTTCACCGCCTTTAAAACATCAGTCTGTGGAGAAATTTAAATGCAAACAGCAACTGAACAATAGTCCAGTCAAACTGACCCGACAGGTGGGACATCTTTTGACAGGTTGGGCACACGTGGCACACATGGCAGTGTGTCCACACGGCTGGAAGGAGATATCACATGGCCCCTCACAGAGAAAGCAACTTGGTCCAGTCACAGAGTCCACCTCACTCTCCTCCATCTCCCCTCCAGACACCGAGACCTCAGGGTGTGTGGCCTTACTGCCAGTGGGTGTGGTCTTCTTTATGGGCATTTTGACTAATTCACTATTAGTCCCTGCCTTTGTCTGTAAATTATAGGTACTGTCATATTTTCAAAGCAAGTCACTAGATAACCTGAGTATTGATGAGTCTGGGGACAGGAGGAGGATGTTTGGGCAGGCTCCCTCTATAATTACCTCTCCTGTAGTAGCGAAGTTATTACTTTCGTATAAAACGCAACTAAAGACACCACCTTTCAGGTCTGGCAAAGAGCTTCAGTAGAGAGTGGTATTCAGGAGGACAGACATGAAGAGGAGTTATTCCCACTAATGATTTGATATCCAGACTGGCTCCTTCGCTAACCAGGAAACAGGCCACAGTGATGTAGACAGGGACATCCTGAATACTGTTGTCAGCTCCTGACACATACTCATGGAACTGCAAAAGTGAAGTATACTGTAAAGACGACTGTGTTTTCACCCTAACTTTATTCAAGTAGAGTGTCCACTCCGACAGAGGTTTCATATTCCTTTTAGCCAGCAATAGGTGCAGTGAAGTAACTCCCTCTGAGTCTAGTGCCCCTGCGTCAGCTCCATAGCCCACCAGACTCTCCATACTCCTGATATTCCCCTCAATACTGGCCAAATGCAGTGCATTGAAACCTTGGTGTGTCTTTTTCTCCAGGTCGCAGGTATCCTAAGTACAATGACACATTAGGGACCACACAATGAGTATCATCATTCTTACTATGGCAGCAAGGAGGCAGAGAGCATCATAGCAGTCCTCTTCAGTTGCCAAATGCAGTGGAGTGTAGCCATTGTCAAGCCTTGTGAGGTTGATTAGTCCTTGGTGGTACTGCATATACAGCTCAATTCCTCTAAAGTGTAGTGCACATATATATCACAACGGTGCTTTAACACCAAGTGTGTGGAGAGGAATACGAAAGCTATCTACCTGTGTGAATCATGGTATTTGACTATGATGTGCAAAAATCACCAAAAAGGTGATGGTCTACAGTTTGCCTTTGCAAAATAAACCCAACTTACGCAAAGTATTCCTTACAGGCAGCATGTACGAAAGAGTTGACATCCCTACATATCACAGTTGGGTCAGCTCCAGCTTCTAACAACTGTCTCGTTATGTTCAGTCGGTAGCACTGGGAAGATATGCACAGAGGAGTACTGCCTAGCTCATTCTGTAAAGCAAGTGGGAAACATTTCTCTGAAGTTGATCACACATGAGATATCCGGAAGAGAAAGTCAGTCAATATTTCACTACATTATTAACCCTCGGCTTGCATGCACAAGGCAAGGGTTACAGCACTTGATCTGTGTATCTGCCTGTCTGTCTGTTACTGCTATTCTAGCACTACATGCAATGAGGCGGCTAATGAGAGATACCAACGGCTTCGAAGCAACGAGGGCATGAATTTAAATCCTGAAACCACTGCTATTGCATGAAACACGAGTGAAAAATATTTTCTTTTAACCCTTGTGCAGCGAGGGATACAGTACTTGGTCTGTCCGTCTGTCACCTGCTATTCTGTAACTACAGTCTACGTTGCAGCAAAAGAGCGATACCAACGGCGTCTGTGCTGTCTAGGCATGAAAATTAAACTGGCTATTTTCCTGAAATCACTCGTTGGAGTTATTGCGAGAAACATGAGCGAAAAAGCATACTTGCTAATGAGCACCTTGACCGTTATTTTCCCGTTAACACACGCACAACGTTACTTGGAGGATGAGCATCGAGTCTAGCATTGCTCTGAACGCTACACGCTGATGCTGCTAACCCGTGTTAGAGTGAGAAACTTGACGACAGTGATCGCGTGGTGTGACCCAGCCCACAAATTTTTCACATGTGTAGTGCGTACATATGCTATATTGGCGCTGAGGTTTGCATTCATAATTTTGCTATGTAAAATTGTAAGCATAACTGTAACACTAATGTGCATACCAGAGGGTCAACCTGGCACTTGGGATGGCTGAGGTAAAGTGAAAGAAGTCTGGAATAACCCCAGATGGTGGCAATGTGGACCGGAGTATGTTGCACACTGCTCCTAGCATTCACATCACTCCCTTCATCCAGTAGCACTTTAGCTATCTGGTAGCGATTGCTGTTGATATTGAAATACAAAGTCCATTGCTAACTGTACTACCACTGCACTTATGAAAGTACTAAAATGCAAACCCTCGGCGCACTATACGCATGCAAATTAATGGGCTAGGCTATGCGTTGTCTATTTTTCGTAGCTTGCTGAGAGTCTGACATGGGCTAGCAACACTTTGTAGATAGTAGCAGGAACAACTCTCTGCTATGACTTGCTGTTCCACCAAGGTAACAGAGCAGTGGATCAGGTCGAGTAAAGCCAGTGATAATTTGCTGTTCACGTTCTTACAAAATCAAGCCAGTATAGCGCTGAAACTGTTGGTATCACTATTTGTTTTTTAGTTACGCGTGGTGGCAGAAGACGTGGTAACAGAAGGACGGATGGAAGGAGAGAACAAATAATGAATAAAGTACTGTAACCCTCGCTGTGCACATGCGCCAAGGGTTAATTACTAGAAAGAATTCTAGCTGAGGAAGTGAGCAGTTTACTGTTTCTCGTGTGTTTTAACACGTATCTTTAGATCACCTAAACATTACGGTACGTGCAGTGCCCGTCCTCTCTCTCTCGTGGTGGTAAAACGTCTCGTTGTACATAATACAAGGGGTACAAAGAGGGGTGAGGTCACTAGGTGAAAGCCTGAACATGTTACAACCATGTTGTACATGTAAAAATTCCACATTCAGACAACTAGGCAGGTTCACTTCGCTCACCAAGATTATGACCAGGTGAGACAAGAAACACAATAAGGGATAAACTTACACGTGAGTTGCAGTGTGCAGAGGTGTTTTACCGTCAATATCCTAGAGAATTGAAAGTATGTGCAATGCTCAACTCAGTTTGCCAGTTCTATAACTTTCCAATTCGCAGAATAATACAGGGGAGGGAAGATAACTGCTTTGCCAAAATGGATGCTGAATTGACACATTATGTAGTTGAGTGTAGCATGGACACAGGTGAGTAGCTAGCTGATACCTGATATTTATCCCCTGGAAGGGTGAACTGTATATACTGTGACCCTTGTGCAACGAACTTTAGTCAATCCAATTTCTAGACACATCTATGGCTGGCCTATTAGGTTGTAAAATAAATCAGATATGACCTGGCCTAGTCTCTTGTTTTGCACAAAATGCCATCCGTTCATCCGATTATTCCACTCTTTTTACTAATTTCCATGAAAATATCAGTGGTTAACAAGAAGGCCAGGTGTAGGACCCATTAAGAAAGATGGAATGCCTTCTGAGCCCCTATAACTTGTATGAAGTGAGTTTGTAAGTGTTATACACGTGAGATCTCATCGGCATCATTCCTATATACGTCTACCAACACTCTAATTGACTATAACTACAGTGTAGATGCGGTGTTCACTAGGTGCAAAGTACATCGTGACAGGTAGAATGAGGAGGATATGACCACACACATTTCTTCCTCCTTATATCAGTTTCAGTCCACACAGACAACAAAACCATCTGCACCCAACTCACTCTTGCTGCAACGTCTGCCTTGTGGTGCAGTAGCACTCTGACAGCATTGATACTTCCTTCAGCTGCTGCCTTATGAAGCAGAGTTTTCCCTTTGTACATCATATCCACCTGCAGATTCTCTAATTGCTAAATCATCGAAAAGATAACGAATGTTTCTATTTACTTTCTCGGGGAACTTCTTGAGAATGTCTCCAAGTAATTTAGAGTTTCCGTAGGCTGCGACTTTGAACACGAGGTCATCACTGGCCTCCTTCAGTACTCTTACCATCAACATCTCAACACCGACTTCTGGTTCCACCTCAGCTGTTGGGTAAATCAGGAATAGGTATATACAGTGTGCATGTTGTAATTCGAATCGTTGGTATAGGGCTTCCTTGACAAAAGTGGATCAGGTGAGTACTGTACGTCCTGCGCGGTACTGTTAGAAGTGAAAAGAGGTTCGCGGTTTGCCTACGTCCTTCAGCACAAGCTAAAATGCACGTGCTGCATTGTACAAGTAAGTACACAGCAGTTTCTACGAGTTCCCAAGAATGTGAGGCTTCCTCAATGTGCATATTGTATGCTTGGTTGCATTTGCTTCCAGGGGAGCAACTGCTGTGCTCAAATATTTACTAGCAGATACCATGTGAGAGGGTAGCAGGCATTGCAGCATCAGACGTTAATTTTATATCAGTAGGCCAAAAAGTGTCCGCTATAGAGAGGAGTCTTTATTCAGATTTCACGGTACATGTATATTATACATATTTTCAACCAGTAAAATTACCAAGGACTACTTGGAGTTGAGTGCTAATGCACCATGTCAAAGCTCAAAGGTGTCAGTCTATATAGGGATGGCACGGGTGACGTGATACGCATTTGTACAATAGGCCCCTAAAATACTAGCTAAGACATATAAAAATGAAAAGCACTAATGCGCAAACCCTCGGCAAACTGCGGTACTGCTAATTATGATGGCTGGGCTCTTAGTATGCGTTACTCTACATCTCCACGCTAATAGCTTGTGGAGAGTCTGACACGGGCTAGCATCTCCACGCTAATAGCTCGTGGAGAGTCTGACATGGGCTAGCTACACTAGTTGATAGCCTGCAGGAGTTGGTACACGCCCTTTGTTGCAACTTCTTGTGCCTTCAAGATATACAGAGCGAGCGGACGCGGTCGAGGTAAGCCTGTGCTAATTTTCATAATGCCCCTTTCACTTGGCTTTCACATCATAACTCTCGAACGCAGTACTTTTATGAAAATTTAAAATCAAACCAGTGTAAAGCTGAAACTATTGGTATCGCTCTTTCGTTGCTTCATTGCGCGTGGTGGGAGAAAACGTGGTAACATACAGACAGACAGACAGACAGACAAACAGACAGACAGGTAGACAGACAGACAGGCAGACAGACACACTAACAGGCAAAGTACTGTAACCTTCGCTGCGCATGCGCGCAGAGGGTTAACCAGTCATAAGGTCATATGTAAGTAGCTATGTATGTATACACACCACAAGGCTCGTAGGTGCCTGGTGTTAAAATTCTTGTTTTATACAACCCTTTAGACTTTAGACGTGCATTTCTGTAAGTTATAGCCTCATTAGGGGATTAACCTCACAGGGAATGTTCAAAGACTTAGGGGTGGGGTATGAGTCCTACTCTACAGGCAAGGACAATGCACTACATGAACATGGCACAGGTCACATGATACACATGATGTACAAAAGGCCTACAAAAGTCCAGTCCAGTGTAAGTAGATACAGTACATCACAAAATTCATACATGCCTGGGGTGAAAATTCTTGTTTCATAATTATAACCCTTCAGACTTATATGTGCATTTAACAAGCGCAGGGAGTGTTCAAAGACTTATGGATTGGGTATGAGGGACTCCATACAGGCGGAATACTCCCGGATTTGACATGCAACATCCTTTTTTCAAAGCTCGTGCTCCTACCCCAGTATAGACACATAATTTCCCCTCACCCTCTTCATCCTCAGGCTGTTCTCCAGGAGTGGGTATAAGACATTGAGGATCTAGTGCCCACCTCCTTCCATTGACCTTCACTACTGTCGATCCATCATTCAGAAATCTTTCCACACGACCCAACTGACCTAGACACTGAGGAATTATTAGACAGAGTTAATAGCACTAAAGTGCAAACCATTGGTGCAAGAGGAACACTGCTTTATTAGCGATTGGGCAGCCTGCCTGCCATGTACACTATGTGTGTTGTATGGTAGCTCTAGTGAGCATCGTTTTGTTAAAGACTGGAGACTCGTCCTCTTAGTAACCTTTAGTGCCTTCCATGCTGAGTTGAATGGGGAAATGGTTACATTTTCAGGGGTATTTTACAGCATAGATGTTGAACAAAGTGCTCTTAGGATATCACTTATTCACCATTATTCGAAACTCACATAGCTCTTACCTACATAGCATTGATTTTTGCCCCCAATGCGAAAACAGGGGAAACAGACAGACAACATCGCTGTGCATGTGTGTCAAGGGTTAAAGAATGCTGCTTTTCATGAAAGGCACAAAAAACTCGGCACACATTGAGGCAGACAGACAGACACACTAACGGACCAAGTACTGTAACATGTGAGCTTGTGAGTGATTTTTCTAAGCCGTCACTGGAGTTTTGTAGGCTATTTGTACATCATATGTATCACGTGACCTGTGCCATCCCCATACAGTTCATATAGTGCATTGTAGAGTATGATTCGTACCCCACCCCTAAGTCTTTGAACATTCCCTGTGAGGCTAATCCCCTAATGAGGCTCTAACTTAAAGCATGGGCGCCAGGGGTTAATCACTCATAAGGTCATATGTAGGTAGGCAGGCTGGCCAGGCAGGCAGGCTGGCCAATAGACATTGAACCTATATGATTGCGTGGGTCAGTAAATGATTGAAATGATGGGCTTGTTAGGCTACGCTGTCCATTTCATTAGTTTGACTAACTCTCTGAGAGTCTGATAGTGGTTAGATAGTGTTTTAAGCATTGCGATGAGACAAGAAACTCGCACTCCATTGTAACTTTCGATGCCTCCACGATACACAAACAGGCATAATGTGGTCGAGGTAAGCCAGTAATAAATTAGCATACTGGCATGTCACTTGGTTCTCACACTATAACTTTTGTACGTGGTGCCGTTAAGAAAAAATCAAGGCAGTGTGGCAACAAACCCTTTAATATCGCTTTTTGGCCAACTTCTTCGACAAACGTGGTAACAGACAAGACAAACCACACCATCAAAACCAAGTACAAGCACCCTCGCTGTGCATGCGCACCGAGGATTAAACACTACATACATTGCGAGTTCGGGTTTTGGCTCGGTGCTGGCCTTGACCAACAGGAGTGGGGAGGGGCCTAGGCTCCAAACCACGAATGTCTGGGCATGGTCAGCAGCACACACCAGTGGCAAAGCCTTGTGGGGATGAATCTCATTAGTTCAGAACCACAAGTGCTGCGCTCCTGGTAGCCTTTATAAACTCATGATACCAGAGAGAGAAGTTGCGGTATGCTCTGCTGATGAGGGCCAACAAGCCCGAAACAGCTGTCCAGAGCTCCACATCTTTTTTCTCTTGACATCACATGGTCTAATACCTTCATGTAAGACTACTAACTAGAGCCATATCATCACACCAAGCACGGCCAACCAGTCTGTGGACCTCTGCCATATCATCAATCACTCGTACAACATCATCAGGAAATACGTCTGGGCCCTCCACCTGAATAACCACAGTATACACACTGATTACGAAAGAAAATTACAAACCCTCTTCAAGGATTTAGTAGCAACAGTCACCCCAGAACCTCGTCCTTGGAAAAAGACTTTGGCTATCTTTTCATCTAAGTGGACACTGTTCACCATACCCACTTCCCCCAGTATCTGCAGAATAAAGTTGTGCAATGACACGAACGGCCACGAAATTGTTCACTTTTGAGGAAAAAAATAGGTAAATATTTTCCCAGAAGCATTGTAACACACACTTCAAAAACGGCGGCGGTATCCTGTGCTCCTATCTCCTCCTGCGAGGACTGTATGAGATCTGCCTCGAGAAGCACCCTGTCACCAGCAGAGATAAAGGAGATTGAAGGTCTGTATTCTGATCCTGAACGGAGAGTTGTCTGATAAAAAACCTAAGAGAATGAAAAAGTACTGAAGTGCAAACCCTCGGCGAACTGCGCATGCGCGGTACCGCTAATTGATGGGCTGGGCTATTAGTACGCATTTACTTGTGGTCTCCACGCTAGTATAGCTTGCGGAGAGTCTGACATGGGCTAGCTACAGCAGTAGATAGCATGCGGGAGTCGATACACGCCCTTTGCTGTGACTTCTTGTGCCTTCAAGATACACCGAGAAAGCAGACACACTCGAGGTAAGCCTGTTCTAAATAGCATATTGCCTTTTTTGCTCGTGTTTCACGCCGTAACGCCCGAATGCAGAACTTTCAGACAAATTCGACCGTTATCCGACGCTATGTGGTATTGTTTGTGGAGTGACTGATTGCTCGGAAGTGAGATAGCTCGCGGACAGACAGACAGACAGACACACACGACAACTACTGTAACCCTCGCTGCACATGCACGCAGAGGGTTAATGAAAAGCACTAAAGTGAAAAACCCTCACATGCGTGGTACCGTTGATGGGCTAGGCTATGAGTACACCTTTACTCGTGGTCTCCCGCTCGCAGAGAGTCTGGCTACAATGAGTAGATAGCACGCGAAAGTCGATAAGTGCCCTTCATTGTGACTTCTTCTGCCTCCAAGGTAATATACAACAGAGCAGGTCGAGGTAAGCCAGTGCGATTATGCATATTGGTATTGTCGCTAGTTTTCACAGCATATCTCTCGCAGTCGCATATCTCTCGCAGTCTTTCAGAAATCACCATTTTACTCTTCAGGTTCACATAAATCTGAAGCCGTTGGTATTGCTTATAAGCCGCCTTATAGCCTGTAGTTTGAGAATAGCTGCAGACAGACACACACAGACCAAATACCGTAACCCTCGCTGTGCAAGCGTGCCGAGGGTTAACTATATACTCTGTACCTAGTAGTGGTAGGTGGTCCAGATAGCAGTGTCCTCCTTCAGCTGCAACTGTACTCTGCAGATCCACCTAATGTCCAAACATCACCACATTCACAACACTCTCTACATCTCGTCTCCCCACCTTGCCCTTGTGTCCGAGTCGGTACTTTCTCTTCAGAGCTGATTCTCTCCACTCCACAACTGCCACACTTCTCTGTGTCATACACACAACATTACAGCCTGTCCACTCCACCACGCCACACATGTTCCACTCACTGAGCTCTCGCTCTGCCATCCACACACATCCACCACAGTCCCCTCTCTCCCCGCACCTCCATCTTGATCACTCCACCTCCAGTCTCGTCCACGCACAACTCTGGCTCCCACAAACACCCCCCTGGCCCCAACACGCCCTGACAGGTACCGACACCGCACTCTCGTCCTGTAGCATACATACTGCTGTTTCAGAGTTGTTCACATGAAATACTTCCGTGGCATAAGTTTCGCAATACACTTGTTTCTGTTGCCATTATGGGCAAAACCCGGCAGCACAATGCACACGCATGGAAATCGCCAGTAAAAATGTAGGTGTAAACATTCTTGCACATTCACTTTCACAATTGAGGCAGTTATATCAGAGTAGCTGTTAGCGTATAACCGCCTATTATTGTCACGGTCAAAGTCCACAGAATACGCCGGTTTACGCATGCGCCTTTTGTAGCTTAGAATGCTGGCTTTCGAATGGTCTTTGTTGCTCGTCTGTAGCTAGTTGTGGCAGAGCTGTGCTTGGATCAGTCATTAATCTGTATATGAGACCACCACCTCTGGGCGACAGCCTGTATCACATTCCAGGACCTCAATCCTGGAAGCTGAGGTAATTCCAAAGCTGAAGTTACCACATAAGCTACAAGACAGGGTTATAAGAGTGTTTGGCTGGCTGTGTTGCTTTGTATTAACCCTCGGCGCGCATGCGCAGCGAGGGTTCTTGGTTCGTAGGTGTGTCTGTCTGTCTGTTAGCACATTTTCTGCCACCACGTGCAATAAACAGGTAAAAAAGCGACACAAACAGGTTCAGCGCTAAACTGGCTTTAATTTTTAAATGGTGATTTCCGCCGCGTTCAGAAGTTATGGCGTGAAAACAAAGTGAACAAGATGCACATCAGCACAGCCTTACCTCGACCGGGTCCGCTTGCTCTGTGTACCTTGGAGGCACAAGAAGTCACAACGAATGGCGTGTATCGACTCCTGCATGCTATATACTACTGCAGCTAGCCCGTGTCAGACTCTCTGTGAGCTAACCTACGGGAGACAACGAGTAAACGTATACTAATAGCCCAGCCCATCAATTAGCGGTATCACGCATGCACAGTTCGCTGAGGGTTTGCACTTCAGTGCTTTTCATTCAAGCTTGTTTTAGTGCTTTCTTCTCTTTTCAAAATCGTGGCCAAGCTTGACTCCCAAAAGTTTTACCGTCAACAAGGAGATGATGAGGCCATGGAAACTCTACAGGATGAAGAAACTGTATCTAGTACTACTTCTGAAGTCCTCAGTGCGTCTCAGAAAACCCTAGTGACTGGGTTAAAGGTCATGTTCAACTTGGAAACACCACAATGATCCCACTGCCGAGGAAGATGTGGCTTAATTAACAAGGCTTCTTGCGTTGCTCCAGCATTTTTTGTTTCCAGTCAGTCACTTTTCCCTGCATTTCACTGCCTATTATCATGCTTTCTATACTTCTATACTTTATATGTGGCGAAATTCTTATGGTATCACTAAGTATGGTAGTACTTAGTATATAGGGATGGGCATGGTACCTATCTGTCAGTATAACTCACAAATGGTAAGAGCTATGTGAATGAAAGTTTGTGTACATAATATAGGGTTTAGACCCAGTTAACCAGTCGAGGGTGATCGGGGTAGCAGGGGCGACGCGGCGCAATCGCGATATCGTTAGACCTGCGGGTGCACCAGGTGTTATGCGCATGTGTTGGTACAATAAGCTGTCTTTCCGGCCAGCCAGCACTTCAGCTCCGTCTACAGCCGACCGAAGCCAAGGACGCCAGAGATTTCTACCCTGCATTATGAGCACTGAGACCCCTCCACCGTCGGATGACTCGTCTCACGTCCCCTTGATCTTCGTGCTCTGATAAAGGACTATCTTGCTGGAGGTCATTCGAGAGGACCCTGCACTGTTCCGACCGTCCGCACCGGTCGACCACGAAGGCGGTAAGTTTAAGCCCCATGAGGAGAGAGGGGGGTCGTGCATACAGTAGGTAGGGCCCAGTAGGTTAGGGGTAGCGAGCAACGGCAGGTTCCAGCGTCCACGTGGTGGGCAGCTGGAAGGCGCTAATGGCGGGCGTTCCTGACCAGCTGGTTGCGCGGCCCATTCCGGGCAATCACAGGTCGGGCCCAAGCCAGCTGGACCATCACCTTGTCTGGTTGTCTGCTGGCCACTGATATTGGGCCATCACCTTGTCGGCATGGGTCAGACCCTGGCTGGGTTATCACTTTGACGGGCCATTTCGCCATCACAGTGACCAATCCTGCACGGTAGCGGAGTTGGTGTTACCCACTCCCCAGGTGCAGTCGGTAAGAAGGCGGGTGACCACACCCCATATTATTAGTCGATATATTGAATTGGCGAACTGTCAGTTAGACTGGTAGCCGCTTGTGTGCACGGGTTGAGCTGGCTTTCCTTCTCATTATGCACAGGAGGATCGTCCTCGGCCACGCTGGGAGATACCCCAGACCCGGCAGCCCATTGCCGCTCTAGGGCTGCCGGTAGTGCATCTTGGTCCACAGGTGCGGGAGTTATGCCACCTGATGGGGAGGTGGACAAGGAGAGGGCAGACGCCAGTGTAACCAAGGCGAAGTAGGTCAAGGAGGTCAGCAAGGAGAAAGGCGGTAACCAGCCCCCCCTTCCTCCTACGGGATGGCCTTGCACCAGTGCCAGCTAAGCTCGTGGAGAAGATCCGGCAGCTTAAGTTCGTCGACATGGCAGACCTCCTACGAGACAATCTGGAGGTCAATCGTCGGTCAGTGGACCTGGAAACTACCCAGGTGTCTCGTAATCGGAGGAGAGAGATCCCCGACCTCCTCAGCTGGGTATCCTGCTTGGAGCATATGCAGCTGTACTGACAGCTAAGCATCCGGAGATATCTAAACATACTGTGGGCCTATCAGACGGTGATAGTGTGCGAGTCACAGAGGTGCGGCGGCAATGGATGGCTGACATACGATGCGTACTTTCGGCAGCAGGTGGACAGTGACAGCACTACCGACTGGTCGCACCTCAACTCCTATTTATATGCAGTCACATTCCTAGGGCAGGGAGGCAAAGGTGGATTGAACTGTGCTACATGTATGGGTTCAGACCACGCACAGCAAGACTGTGCTCTCCATCAGTTGCAGACACGTACACAGACAACGCTAAAGCGGCCCCGTCCCCCCAGCCCGGAGACTCAGGGTTCTAAATGTCGTGCGACACTCCAGTGCTGCTTCGCTTGGAACCAGGGCGAGTGTCGGCGTGTCGCTACCCGCGTTGCCGGTATATACAGGCATGCATGCCTGCACTGTGGGGGAGACCACCCGATGGTACGGTTTACCACCCTTCGGGATGAGAAGGAGAGCAAGCCTGGTCGTGACACCAAGGCACAGCGGGAGAAACACAGGCTGTAGGCCTTCCCAGTGCGGGTGCCCATAATGAGATGCGGCATACTTGACTTGCATGTAGTTGTGTTCATTGATTATCAGGTGATTATCAGGTGCTCAGTAGCCTACAGTAGCTCAGGTGCCGCATCTAACTGCGTGTGAGGTAGCACAATTATACACCCGGCCACAGGTGCCTCAGTCTGCGTGGGTGTCCCAGCCGGGGCAGAGTTGGCGCTATGTCATATACATAGGCTGGGATTCCCCATTGCAGACAACAAGGTGGAGGGCCCCTCTGTGCGACTTCCGTTCCTGGGTATACTGACTGGACACGGAGTCGTGTACCCTAAAATTGCCACCAGAAAAGCTAGGGAGACTGCACGGCCTGATTTAGCAGTGGGAAGGGCGGCGCTCCTGTACAGTGTACCAAAAGAGAGTTACTCTCCCTGATCGGCCAGCTCAGCCATGCCTGCCAGGTAGAGAGGGCAGGTGGTACCTTCCGAAGAAGGATGATTGACCTCTCCTCCGTCCCATTTCACCACCGGGTCCGTCTCACCAAGGGCTTCCAATCGGACTTGCACTGGTGGGCGGCCCCTTTCTGGAAGGTGGAATGAGGTTTCCATGTTTGGGGGTGTGGTGCGCCAGCAACTGTCGGCAGTGCTCACTGAGACGCATCGGGGTCCTGGGGATGTGGTGCCTACTCTGATTCCGGAGCATGGTTCCAGTTTCAGTGGGCGGAAGCATGGGCACGGATCCACATCACTACCAAGGAGCTGATGCCTATTGTGGTAGGGTGTGCTGTGTGGGGGCATGCCTGGAAGGGGAAGACGGTACGCTGCTTATGTGACAATGCAGCTGTAGTTGCAATTCTCCGTTCAGGGTCGGCAAAGGACCCCGTCACTATGCACCTGATGCGGTGCCTCTTTTTCTTTACAGCAGCGAGCCCCCATGCATCTGCCGGGGAGGGACAGCGCTGCGGCAGATCATTTGTCACGAAATGCCTTCCAAACCTTCCTGCAGTTGGTGCCGAAGGCCGAACAGACCATGCTACCAGAGCCCCTGATGCAAGCCCTAGTCGTCCAAAGGCCGAACTGGACATCACAAGCCTGGAGGAGCGCTGTTCGTTCTATTTCGCCAATGGTCTGGCCAGTTCATCCTAGCAACCATACAAGTCTGGCGAAAACCGGTACCTACGGTTCTGCTCCTCTTACGGACTGTCACCTCTACCATTGAAAGAGTCGGTGCTTTGCTCATTTGGGTCTTACCTAGAAGATCAGTCTTTGCAGCAATGCACTATAAAGACGTACATGTCTGGCCTAAGATTCTTGCAGATTAAGTCGGGTTATGGCGACCCGTTCGCGGCCGTCATGCCACGTCTGGATTACGTGACGAAGGAATAAAGAGGGTGCGAGCTACTTCAGGGAAGGGTGTTAGAGAACGTCTGCCGATCACTCCCGACATCCTGCGAAGGCTAAAAGGCGTGTGGGTCTAGTCCGCTCACGACCCAGACACCAAACTCATCTGGGCCACCTGTTGCCTGTGTTTCTTTGCATCCCTGCAGGTGGGGGAGATGACCACTCCGGACACAAAGACCTACGATCCTGCTGTTCATCTGTGCTTCTCGGACATCGCGCTGGATAACGCCCGAAACCCAACCTTCTTGAGTGTCCATCAAGCAATCCAAAACGGATCCCTTTCGGCGAGGTGGCGGCCATCATGGACTACCTGACGCATCGGGGGTGATGCCGGGGCCCACTGTTTCCGTTTTCATCTGGCGAATTCCTCACACATAAGCGGTTCGTGGACAGTGTAAGGGCCGCTTTGGCAGAGACAGGACATCGACCAACAGAAATATTGCGAGAGGGTGGCTTACTTGCAATACATTCGTCTGCCCAGGGACCAGTTAACCGGTTATGCACGTGCATAGGCTAACATTTAGATGTGTTCCTTATTTATTCTATCTACGGGCGCTCGGTGTGTTTGTTGTTGGGAAGATTGGCTGTTGGCCTCCGGAAAGCACAAGCTTGTGGCTCCCAGGTTTTGAGGGTCAAGAGAAGCCCGGTAAGACATTAAATAGGGTTTAAACGTCAAGGGCGATCGGGGGTAGCAGGGGCGGCGGGGCACGATCGTTAGACTTGTGCGTGCACCAGGTGTTACGCACATGCGTTGGTACAATAAGCCGTCCTTTCGGCCAGCCAGTCCTTCAGCTCCGTCTACAGCTGACCGAAGCCAAAGACGCCAGAGATTTTTTTCTTCTTTCTTCTCCTCTGTCAGGCTTACCGGCCTGACGTGATCAGTGTAGGGGCAGTGCGTGGAGGAGGGCAACGCCCCCTCCACCACTCCTCTCACAAAACACGCCTTCAGACGTGAAATTGGAAGAGCAAAGCCTGCCCCTCACACGACTGCCAATCCGACACAAGCACAAGCTTGTGGCTCCCAGGTTTCAAGGGTCAAGAGAGCCTGGTAAGACGTTATATTCAATAGCCAACATCAAAATCACAACAATACATGTTTGTAATAACGAACAAATAGACTCAGGCACTTTTCTTTAAAAAAAACTCCTCAAACTTGCTAATTGTAGCACGCATGGAGGTGAAACTTGGTGTGCATGTATTTTACATCGTTTCCATGACGACCACAACAACAAAAAGCCTCAGGAACTTTTCTATAATTACTTCTCCACTCCTCCAACTCGCTAACGGTACCACACATGGACGTGACACTTGGTGTGCATGTGTATTACATCGTTTCCATGACAACCACAACAACAAAAGGCCTCAGGAACTTCACTACTCAAACTCGCTAACAGTACCACATATGGAGATGAAACTTGGTACACATGTGTATTACATCATTTTCATGACAACTACATGTTTCTATGATGACTGTTCAAATAGCTTCTGGCACTTCTCCTCGAACTTGCTAACGGCAGCACACATGGAGATGAAACTTGGTCAAAAAGCGCATGATATCGTTTCCATGACAACCACATCTTATTTGGACAACAACAAATAGCCTCAGGCATTTACTTCTTCACTCCTCAAACTTGCTAATGGCAGCACACATGGAGATGAAACTTGGTACGCATGCGTAATACACCATTTCCATGACGATAAAAGGCGAAAGACAATGAAATTGAGCACATCAGGCTTGGCATAGCGAACATAGCTTATTAACCCTCGGCGCGCATGCGCTGGAGGGTTATAGTACTTGGTTTGTCATTCCTTCCGTCCGTCTGTCCTTCCGTCTGTCTGTCTGTTACCACGTTTTCTCCCGCTACGCGCAACAACACGGCCAGAGAGCGATACCAACGGGTTCAGTGCCACACTGGCTTTATTAACCCTCGGCGCGCATGCGCAGCGAGGGTTATAGTACTTGGTTTGTCATTCCGTCCGTTTGTCCGTCTCTCCGTCTGTCTGTTACCACGTTTTCTCCCGCTACGCGCAACAAGACTCCAAAAGCGATACAACGGGTTCATGCCACACTGGGCTTATTTTAAAAATAGCGATTTCGGTATAAATGCTGCGTTCGAAAGTTATAGCGTGAAAAGCAAGTCAAGGAGCTAATATGCAAATTAGCACAGGCTTACCTCGACCGCGTCCGCTCGCTCTGTGTATCTTGAAGGCACAAGAAGTCACAACGAAGGGCATGTATCGACTCCCCCATGCAATCTACTACTGTAGCTAGCCCGTGCCTGACTCTCCGCGAGCTATATACTAGCGGGATACAACGTGTAAAGAAAAAAGCCCAGCCCATCAATTAGTGGTACCGCGCATGCGCAGTTCGCCGAGGGTTTGCACTTTAGTGCTTTTCATTATTAATTTTTATAGGGGGCTTGCCCGCTTTCACAGAGATATACGTAGTAGTATATAAAAATGAGCGGAGAGAAGTAAATTAAAAATCCTGCGAATTTAATATAGGGATGGTAAAGGGAGACAAGATAGGGATGGGATACATGAAGCATGGTTAATGAACAGATTTGAGCACGCTGACACCCCCAACCCCATCACACAATCCCTATATTGTTGCCTAGGTGAAGTATTAAACATTAACATTACACAATAGTCAGGATTTACAGCTTGAAAATAAAAATAGTCATGCTACTGAGTAACCAAGAGTACAAATGGAGTAGCACACCAGGCAACAAAATTATAGGGATTGTGTGATGGGGTTGGGGGTGTCAGCATGCTCAAATCTGTTCATTAACCATGCTTCATGTATCCCATCCCTATCTTGTCTCCCTTTCTTTTTATACGATCCCTATATGCCTCCTTTTTTAAATTCTCAGGACACGGGTGTCTCTATCTCACCTCTGTCTGGGGTTCTCTGGAGAGTCCATCCTCGTGAAATGATGCCACACGCTATGCCTGTCCTTCATGTAGCACGGAGTGCACAGATAGTAGCGCAGACAGTGGACACACCTCCACACACAGCCTGCAATAGTCTGACTCCCACACCCACTGCACTCCAGGTGACTGTGAACTACACCTGCTCCACACACAAACGAGACCTGTCTCTTTCCGGTACTCCTAGCTATATCACTTACCCGCTGGCGCGCTGTCTATCACTCGCAGGTCGTACTTTCCACCAGCACCACAGCGGTACACGTGTCTCTCTCCACCCACGTCCCACTGAACAGTGGCTACATCATGTCTACCGTCCTCTGCGCCGTCAACCCTTCCTCCAGCAACAACAGTCCCCAAGTATCCCTCGCCACCATCCTCGTTCCCTCTCCCCCAGTCGGGACCACGGACCACCCGTATACCGGTCCCGACGTCCATCGAAGCGGAGGGTTGTCCCCAGGGAATTCCCCTAAAGACCATTTGCGTAGGCGTGGCAAAATGACGCGCCGGCCAAGCGGCTAGCTAGCATGCAGAGGATCTAGGATGAGCGAGGGGGGACAACTGCGCGTATACTGCGCGCGCGTCAACAATGGAAATAGCTAGCTCGAGGGACCCTGAGCTGTATCGAAGACGCTACAAGGCCGTCTAAATTGATTGACAAGCAATTTAGACGGTGGCCGTGCCACGCCGGCCCCCCGTAGATACCGTAATTATGATACGCGGGAATCTCGGCAAAAAGCGGTTCAATCGACTCGCGCTCAGTTCAACCGCACGTCTCTCGCGGCTTCCGATGCGGAGCTCGAGATAGATACGGAGGTTTGTATTTCGCGCCTCGTATGACTCTGCGCATGCTCAGTAAGCGCCGCAGCTCCTCAATATCAAAACGTCATCGGTAATGAATATTCAATAGGCAATTATGTGTGGCACGCGACTATAGCGTCATACCCAAAAGGGTGTGTACGTACGTACATACGTATACACTAACGAACCATGTGCGCATGCTAACTCGAGCTTCCCATCGGTGACGTAAGAATAATTATGTCATGCCTGAAGGGTGTGGCTTGTTAGAGCTATATAGCGCACTGCGCGTGTGTATGCTGAATTATCTGTTGTTCTGACTCAATATTCATCTTTGGTCGATCGTTACATAATAGTTTTAAATCACTCCTGTATTCTTGACCTTCACCTTCCTTCCACCTCCTGTAAACCCAGGGCAAATGAAATGTTATGTTATGTTATATATGCATAAGTGAAATTGGTATGCGTCTGTGCATTTGCGCATCGCAAAGAACGCACGTGGCACTTGTTTCGAAAGAGAGTGCAGCAGATGGACTCGTCGAGCGCTTTCGGTGTGGTAGTCTGTACGTGTTTAGCACAGGCAAAGAGGCGAATACAGTGTAAGGCATGCTAATACGCTCGCCTGCGCCCGTACCTTGCCTGTATAATGGGAGGGCTCACTCTTCTCTTCGCGCGTTGAACTTTCGTGTACATTAGCGCAGGATAACAATAAGGTAAGGGCAGGTAATTCGGAATAGCGGGTAATTCGGAATAACTCACGTTGCGGCGGCTATTTTATAAAATATTTTGGTCAGGGCAGGCTGTCACTGTTATTACAGGTAGAGTTGGATGTTAGCTTATACATACCTGTGTTGCGCTCTATGTCCGTCGTGTCTCTTGCATGAAGAGAGCTCAAACATTCAGTTGACTACTGACTTCAAAGGTGAAAGGCGATCGGAAACTTCGATAGGCTGCTAGAAGTAGAGCAGACTACGGCGATCTAAAACAGCTAAAGCAGACTACAATGAAGGCTAAACACATCGAACATGCAAGCTGTCCTACAGCCAGTTTCAGTGTAGCATACCAAGAGGTCAAAGTTTTGCGACGCGCGCAGCTAGCTCTGGCGCGCGCACACCTATGCGAGTAACGGTATAGAAAAAACAGTAATCACGACAGCTATAATCCTTTGTTTATGTGAAAAATTACCTGCATATGTACGCTGCAAGCCATACAGGTTAGACGTATCGCTGCTGTAGCTCTACTATTCCGAATTACCGGCGCATGCGCATAACGGACGGGACTGAGAAATCGGTCCGCGCGGACAAACGAAACGATGTAAATGTTCTGTTTTCGGCATGACAGAGAGTAAAGGTTAGTGTATCTCTGCGTTTGTTATAGTATTCCCTGGTGTTGATCTGCAATCAAAGAAGAACGTTTTTTCTGAAGTTCATTCCGAATTTCCCTCCCTTACCTTATTGTATGTCTCGGTGTGTGTTTATCAGCCAAAGTATAGATCCAGTTTTACACCCTACTATTCGATTCAACGTGGAGCATGTTCTGGAGCAAGTCCTAATCCCCTCCACCCCCACCCCTCTATCCCTACCTCTAGTCCAGAGGAGGTCGGACATGCGCAGGGATTGCGTCATTGTAAATGACATTTATGCTGACACAGCAATTTCTTTCCCGTAAAGAATGTATGGGGAGATAAAAGAGCGTGCTGTAGCAAAACCAAGCGGGATTCGGAGAAGATTTGCAACTGAATCGATGTAATATGTAAGAAAGATACTGAAAATCCTATTATCCCCAGCGATCCCCTACCGCTCGGGGAGATATAGTGAAGAATACTAATAACTCTGTCACACTCACAGCGTGAGCCCTAGAGCTAAGCTAAATGCACAGTACCTTACTTTGATCCTTTTTACAACTCTCCGTGTGGTTTCAAGCGAATGCTCCGTCTGTTTTGTCAAAAAAACTAAGCATAGGTCGAGCAAGTCGTCGAAGGTCGTGCATTCCTCAACGCGCTAATTGAAATTCTTGTACTATTCACGTGACCGTGTCCGACCTCCTCCGCCTCTGGTCTCGTCCCCAGACCCCTCCCACTCATCACGTGGAAAAGGGGTCTGCTCTATATTATTTCTTGGTCCTAGATCTCAAAATGGAGATATCAAATCAGATCGCAGAACGGCCAATCAATGTCACGTGCATCAGTAGTTCGGTTGTTAGATGGAGCCTCGCATGCATCACATTACTGTACTGTGCATGGATACTATGGATATGACGTCTTTTGGACCGAGCTTCGCATCAAAAGCTGCCAGACGCTCCTTCCCCTTGTGGGTGGAGCAGCTGGGGACGAGACTACCCTCCCTCCTCTCTCCTAGTCTGGCAGGGCCACATCCACGAGCGCTAAGCTCGAGGTTCTGTGTGGATTAGTTTTTACAATGATGGCTACAGCTTGGCTAACTGGTTTTATGTGCATATTATAGCTTGGTGCAAGTGCAATATGACATGATAACAAAACTGGCAATTTGAACATGGAACTGCGTATAATCTTGGAAGGAGAGGGGGGAAGAGGGGGAGGGAGGGAGGAATAGAGGGAAGGAGGGAGAGGGAGGGAGTACTCTGGTGGTGGAACCACACCCACGAGCGGCCCACAAAGCGTTGGCAAGCTTGATCGCAATTTGTACCCTGCTGTAGGATTTTTGCAGCCCAATCAGATTGCAGAACATCACTTCTAAAACGTAAACATAAACATAATAACGTTATATCATGAGTACGTATCGCTTACAGTCAGCATGCATCAGCCTGCCATTGGTAGACAGAAACAAAGTGGTAGTGTCCTTGTGCTTGCTGCATATAGACATACATGTCCTCACTTTCGTTGGCGAAGCAGTTTTGAGGTTTCCACAAATATATATGTGCCATAGTGACTTCCCTCCACCTTCTACTGTTGCTGTATTGCATGAAAGTGCTTATTGGTGGGAGTCTTATCCCATTGAACTCAGCACTTTTCCATGTGAGGTGCATCTATGTGTACCTTAAATTTTGTTGCAGGCAAGTGAAAGAGAAGGTGGCTCGCAGGAGTCGGAGAAGATTGTTCTGAGAAAGATTATTGTGAGAGTAAATATATTTAACCCTCGGCGCGCATGCGCAGCGAGGGTTACAGTACTTGGTTTGTCCGTCTGTCTGTCTGTCCGTCCGTCTGTACCACCTTTTCCGCCACCACGCGCAACAAACGGGTAAAATAGCGACACCAACGCAGGGTTCTGCCTACGTTGGTCGGGGGTGGCCGCTGAAAGTCTCCCGACCACTCCTAAATAAAAGGCGGGGCTGGTGCGTATAGTACGCATCTAGCGATGAATGAATATCTGCAATGGAAACGTGGCCTCCCTGCGGCTCTAAGATGACACTTGGCTTTCTAACACACGAAGAACGTATCTGGGCTTCGTATGCGCGCCTACACTAAGTATAAACATGCAAACAAAAAGGCACGCGTGAACGCGAAAAAACCACGCGTACGCGTTAATTCCGCGCATGCGCATTTACGCGCGCAATGAGTTAATTGTTTACCTAATGGCCACCACTAAAATAATCCTGGGTAGAATCCTGCCAACGGGTTCAGTGCTACACTGGCTTGATTTTAAAAGGCGATTTTCCTAAAAGTGCCGTGTTCAGATGTTATGGCGTGTAAACCAAATGAACAAGCCAATATGCTAATTAGCACTCGCTTACCTCGACCTGATCCGCTTTATCTGTGTACCTCGGAGGCACAATAAGTCACAACGAAGGGCGTGTATCGACTCCGGCATGCTATCTACTACTGTAGCTAGCACATGTCAGACTCGACTCCGCGATCTACTAGCGGGAGACGATACTAAAATAGTAGGCCCAGCCCATCAATTTAGCGGTGTATACCGCGCATGTGCAATTCGCCGAGGGTTTGCACTTTAGTGCTTTTCATTTTGTTAGTAGTTCTGAGGGTGAGTCTGGGGGAGGTTGCGAGA